GACCTACAGGAGGATCGAAAGCCTAGGCTCAAAGCAAGACCCAGCCCTGGTAAGAAAACTAGTTTTTAAAAGGCATACATCATTATTAATGTCTTAGCATCAAAAAACTAAAGGCAGACTGACAAAACAAAGAGAAGCAAGCTCGCAGTTGAAGTAGTTGTTCTTCGCAGCATCAACATTTTGTCCCGAAAGTAGGTTGACACTGGTCACCCCAGAATTCTCCCAGTCTTCAGGCGCCATCCATGAGCTGCTTTGAACACTTCTCCAGCCACCTCACCCACTTTTTTCACTCCAGCCTCCATCATCTTACTTCTTACGGGATTTGTCTGCAAAACATTCCAATCATTCAGATTTTTAAGAAGCAGGTTAACAGGTATACAAGGATCATTCACCCTGTTATTATCAAAAAATAATGCTATTTCTCAGCTTCCAAATGGTCCAACAGATCGCTGAGATGCCTATCATAACCAAACCCTTTTCATCTTTCCCAAAAGTCTTCACCCAGGTTCTCATTACCATGTCCAAATTTTCTGGAATGTTTCTCAAATTGAAATCACATTTCAAGATGTTCTATAACAATCTAGCAACTGAACAAGATAAGAAAAGGTGATTTATATTTTCTTTATGTCTACAAAAGGGACACTTATCATCCCCCTTCCATCCCCTGCGAAGTAGATTGTCTTTAGTAAGTATACTATTCCTAAGAGCCAACCACATGAACACCTTGATTCTAGGTGGCATTTTGATTTTCCACATGTAAAGGCGGGGGTATTTGATACCATTTTCAATCAAATGTCTGTAAAAGGATTTTACAGTATATACCCCTTTTTTGGTAAATGTCCATTTCACCTCATCTTTGTCATCATTTAAGGTTACCGAGCTACAGACATCTTTAATATGTTCCCATAGCTCTCTAGAATCTCTTGTCAGAGTTCTTCTGAAATGAATATTATCTAAACTATTCTCCAACACCTCCTTAACTGTTTTCTTTTTATCAAAGCATAACTCATACAATCTAGGGACGTTTTTACTGAGTGGAGCATATCCAATCCACCAGTCTTCCCAAAAGCGTACTTTATCCCCGTTTCCAACCATAAACTTACACAAAGAGGCAAAATGGTCTCTATGTTTCAATATCTCCCTCCAAAACTGGGAGTCTCCCTGTTTGGCAAGTACACTACCCAGGTTTTTATTCTTAACATATTTCTTCCAAATAATATCTTGCCACAACCCCTCAGTTGTGTACAGCTTCCACCACCATTTACACAATAAAGCTTTGTTCATATGTGTGAGGTTTTTAATTCCTAACCCCCCACCCCCATATCTTTCGGCCTGCACACCTGAGACCACTTAACTAAGTGATATTTCTTTTTTTATCATTATCTTGCCATAATAGTCTGGCTCTAAAGAAATCCATGTGTTTTTTCACCCCTATGGGAAGCCCATAAAAGGACATCATAAAATAAGGTATGCCCGTCAAAGACGACTGGATCAATGTAACCCTCCCTACACTAGCAAGCAATCTGCCTTGCCAGGTTTCACATTCCCTCTCCATTTTGTTCTTAGGATGCTTCCATAATTTATTGCAAATTCTTTTTTATCTACAGGCAGTCCTAGATATTTCATAGGCAAGGCACCTACTGGACATGTAATTTTTTTTTCATATTCCTCCTTTTTATCTATGGCTCCCCCAAATAAGAAAAGCTCACCTTTGTGAAAGTTAATCTTCAACCCAGACATTTGCTCAAAAAGGCACAAAATATATTTCAGGTTGTGTGCACTCTCTATATCATCTTGTAATAGGAAGATAGTATCATCTGCATATTGTAACATATTAATCCCATTTGGAATATATTCATTCAGAACCCCTTTCACCAGACCATTTTTTCTAGCATTATCTAACATAATTGCTAGGGCATCAACAGCCAGATCAAAGTTAAGAGGGGACAGGGAATCCCCCTGTCTCAAACCTTTGTGAGTAGGAAACTATTTTCCTAAATTCTCATTAACTTTGACACAAACTTTCCCCCCTCTAATAGTTTCCATTACCCAGTCTACCCATTTATCTAGGAATCCTTTCAATCTCAACATTTGGAATAGGAAGGACCATTTTATTTTGTCATATGCCTTTTCAAAATCAATTTTCAATATCAAAGCGCTTTGTTTTTTTTCTTTTTAATACTGTTCAAAGCTTCATGAAGGATTAGGACCCCTTCCATGATATATCTACCTTTTACAAAAGCAGTCTGAATAGGAGAAATAACATCAGCAGCTACCAGATTTAGCCTGTTCATTAGCACCTTTGTAATGATTTTAAAGCAAACATTCAGCAAGCAAATTGGTCTGAATTTTTGTATTTGATTGGCATCATTTCCTTTTGGGACTAGAGTTATAATCCCATAGTTTAATCTACTTAAATCAATTTTCCTACTGGCAAAGTCATCCAGTAAAGCTTTGAGGTCATGTTTCACCAAATCCCAGTAGTGCTGATAAAACTCAGCTGTAAAACCATCTAGTCCTGGTGATTTATTGTGTGCCATTTTAAAGACAACCTTCTTGATTTCCTCTAGAGAGAATTCTTCAATCAGAATTTGTTTATATCTCTCCTGAATCTTAGTTGGGTTATCAATATTTAAAGAGATAGAGGAGTTATCAGGTGGACCAAACAAGGTTTTGTAGAAAGTAGTAATATAATCTATAAGATTTTTATCCCCCCTCTATCACCCCCTCATCCTGTTCTAACCTGTTGATTCTATTTCTTCTCAGTCTTCCATTTGCCTTGGCATGGAAGAATTTAGTATTGTTATCTCCTTCCAGTATCTCATCTATTTTGGCTCTTTGCCTCGATTTGGTCTCCTCCTGTTTAAGGAGTCTATCAAGTTGAGCTCTCAGCTCAATTTGTTCCTTTCTATCAGCAGCTGTAAGGCCATTCACCTCACAGTGTTT